ATGGATATTTTTTAAACTTGTAGTGCTGTGATAAAATACATCAACTATCTTTTCATTTTGTTAAAGAGACAGTCCTTTCCCCTTGTTAATGGAGAATTAGTGATAAATCATCCAGTGATGATTTCAAAAGCATATCATCAAACAACAACTTAACAGTGTTCATTTCAGGACAAGGTGAGGAAAGATGTGATAGTCTGAATAAGAATGTCTCCCATTGGCTCCAAGTACTTGAACATTTTGTCCCCTGTTGGTGGTGCTATTTTAGGAGGTCTTAGAAGGTGTGGCCATGCTGGAGGAAGCAGGTCACTGGGGGTGGGCTTAGAGAGTTCTTAAGCCTTGCCAGATCTCTAATCACATACTGCTTCCTGTGCCTGCTTGAAGATATGAGTGCTTAGCTTCTGCTCCTACTCCAGCCACCTCTGCCGCCACGTCTCCCCACCATGATGGACTGTTGCCCCTTTGGGACTATAAGCTAAATAAACTCTTCCTTCCATAAGTTGCTTATGTCAGTGTTTCTATCACAGCAACAGGAAAGTCACTAATACAAAGGGCAATCATGATCGTACTCCTGTTACTTTCCTCATTCATCATGAACTTTCAGTTTTTTTCTATAGAAATCATTTACAATGTGAATGTTTAAGGCACATTAATGAAATAATAAGATAATACTAAAATTCTAAACTAATTTGTTAGAAATATTTTAAACATAAATATGCAAGTAAATAAATAAGGAAGACTGATTCTTCTAAACTAAAATATATTATAAAGTTAGACACTAATTAGAGAGAAGAGGTCTTGGTATATCACGGGTGTTTCAAAAAACAAGGATGGATTAAGCAATCAAGAGCAAACCAGGGACTGATTATTCAATAAATAGTTATCTGCTAAACAAACTACACAGTTTATTTTTTTCCTTTGTAAACAACAATCTTTGATGAGAACAAAATTGAAAGTAATAAGTAAATAATGAAATAAGGTCTAGGGAAAATAAACAAATGTCCTTTATTTAGGTCAGCAACTGAAAGGACATGGTATGCATAAAAAGAAACAATGGAAGGAAAAAGTGAGCACACCATTTTTTTTTTAAATATTATGTGTATGAGTGTATTGCATGCATGCAAGGGCACCCAAGTCTTGCAGTGCCCTCAGAGGTCAGAAGAGGGCATCAGATTCCCTGGGACTGGAGTTATAGTATGTAACCCTCAAGTGGATACCCTAGCTATGCTTCCTGATCTGAATATTTGATACAACATTGTTTTATCTAAATATCATATCAGAGACTAAACGGACAGATAAGAAATGAGAAAACTGGGACTGGAGAGATGGCTCAACAGTTAAGAGCACTGGCTGCTCTTGCAGAGGACTCGGGTTCAATTCCC